AAAAAAAAAGGAAAGCTACCCATCATACCATATGTGCTCGAGTATAAACCAAGTTTTTCAGCACATTTTTTATGCAGTTTTTGTGGTAAAATTAGGTGCCTCGGCTGATATTTGGGTCAGCTTATACTGTAGCATATATGGTACTTGAAAATATAACTAAAATGTGAGGGAGCGCAGAAAATTTGTGGACAAATAGAACTGAAAGATAATGAGTTTTTTCACAAATTTTTAAGCCCCTTCATAGTGTTAAAAGAATTTTAATGTCCCTTTTTTTACAGAGAAGAAAGGCTTTAATATAAAGTAAAATATCGAGGGTTGTAAGGATTTTTGCTTATGTAGCCTTCAACTAAAATCCCCAGAACTAATTACTTCTCTTACCACTGCCCCCAAGAACAGGCCCCTGGCGCCTCCCATCATGACTCCCCAGTGCTGCCCGCATCACCTACTGACCCAGTCAGACCGAGCCCCTCTGTCTCGGCTTCTCAGCACTTGGCTTCTCACTCCCTGGAATGTTCCCGTTTTCTCTGTGGCTCACTTGCTTCAGAGCTCATGACTGCCCTCCTCACCCCCCACCCCCACCCCCAGCCCCTCCAGTTTCTTTCTAGCCCCTTACCCTTTTCCTTTCATAGATGAAACTCGACTCACAGCCGTTGAGTCGGGGCTGACTCAGGGCCACCCCTGTGGGTATCCGAGGCTGCCTGTTTATGGAGTAGAAAACCCAGTCTTTCTCCCGCGGAGCCGCCCATGTTCTTTTGAGCTGCTGACCATGCGGCTTGCAGCCAGTGCATAACGACCACACCGCCAAGGCTCTGATGAGCCGTCATGTAGAAGAGAAAATGATGGAATTTTCCCACAAGCTTCTTGAAGCCCCTTTGTATTTGGGGGGGCGGTGGGGGGCGGTTGGGGTCTGTCTCACATGTCACTCACTATCTTTTATAATGCATAGACAGATAGGCACTCTTCTCACACTGTTATGACAGCTGTCTGTTATGACAGCTGTCTTCCCCAGCGGTATATAAGAGCCATGTGAGCATCGTGCTTGGCATGTAGTAGGTGCTCAGTCAATATTTGGACACATGAACGAAGACACCC